TATTCTTTACATAATATGAAGGTGAGTCTTTAAGTCCCAATATTAAGACAGTTGAAAAACTTTTGGCAAATCTAGATAAGCAGATTGTGAAGGGGAATTATTTACCTGTGGATAAAAGCATCCTGTTCTGGAGATGGATTCCTGAAAAGACTTTCATCTATAGAGAAAAGCTAGCCAAGACTTAATAAAAACAGAATAACATTTTTGCTTGGGGTCAATCTCCCAGGCTACTGGTTGGAGCCTTTTGTGGTGTGTTTCATTGATAGACTTTGTACCTTTGAACTCAGAAATCTCCATACACTGCAATCAGCATGTGTTACCTGTTTGACACAGGAGCTTCTTATAAGAAGTCATAGATGACCTAGTTCCTCATCCCAGATGCTCCTCGAGGCACGTTCCAGAGAAACGGAGAGATGCTTCCAGGCTTCTGCTCCATGTTGACAAGTCTTCAACACATCCTCTCCTAATATCTGTTGTCTATCCCAACATGGATATGATTTTTACCTATCCAAATCCCCTTTTTTGTGACAGAGCTTCTCTGTGTAGCTCTGGCTGTCCTAGAGTTCACCATGAATAACCAACTTGCCTTGAAGTCTCTGAGATCTACCTGCTTCGGCCTCCCAAATACTAGGGTTAAAGGGGAGTATCACCATGCCTGGCCAAAAGCCCCTTCTTTGATTTAACCAATAAAAAAGAAAATTACAGCAGCATTCCCACTATAAGAATAGAATCCTTACCTGGATCTTGCTTCAACTAAAGAAAGTACTTCAGTAGTACGGTACTGAAGACATTCTGGAAGGACCATAATACCTATGAGTGCATCTCCTGGATGAGTTGGGGTGATGTCACCAAGGATTAAAAAAGGGGTGATTTTTGTATTTCTTCTTTATCTCTTCTGCATGACATACTAAAGCTTGTCAAGACCTAAACAGATTCTTCAGATGGTTTAAAACATGTACCCTTAGCATCAACAAAAACCTCTATCAATAGAGAAGGAGGTTCGTGTTTTATTTTCTGCTTACAAGCAAATCTAGGGAAAAAAAGAAGAAGGAAGGAAAGAAAGAAAGAAAGTCAGTCACCAAGGACACATTTCTAAGAAGTTCCATCTCTTCAGCCAGCATGCAGAAGACCTGCACGAGCTCAAGCCAGACAAAATGCCAGCATGGAAGAGCAAAGGTGGGCACAAAGTCCCAACCCTAGCTGAGGAGTTATTGGTACTTGAGTGTTGCCAGGGAGATTTGGAAAAGCCAGTTTCCTTTGCTGATGTAACTTCTGCCTATACGTGTGTTGGCATTGCTGCAGCTGTAAAGAAACTTCTCAAAGGAGAATTACAGGTATATTATGAAAACTTTTCTTAGTCAATCACTTCTTTCTTTTTGTTACTCAGCTGTTTTATGTACTTAGTGCTAAGACATCTGAGAGTACTCCCCCAGTTATACAAATCTTTCCTCAATATACCAAATACATATTCTATCTGACTGAAACCACTTCTCCTGGAAAGTTTTGGTCTGTTCCAATGCAACTTCTGCTATATAGTCTTTTTTAAAAAAATATTACCCCAATAATCCCAGCACTCGGGAGGCAGAGGCAGGTGGATCTCTGTGAGTTCTAAGCCAGCCTGGTCTACAAGAGCTAGTTCCAGGAAAGCTACAGAGAAACCCTGTCTCGAAAAAAAAAATTACCCCAAACTATTCTAAGAAGCCATTTCTTGACTTCTTGATCATATTTTTATGTCCTTGTCATATTCTTTCTCTCTGTCATACTGTGTCTCTATCTGTCCTCTTCCTGCCATGTGTGTGTGTGTATAAGAGAGAGAGAAGAGAGAGAGAAAGAGAGAGAGAGAGAGAGAGAGAGAGCGAGAGAGCGAGCTACAGGGCACACACCTTCTAATAAACTCACAAGAAAGATCATTGAAATAAAAAATTTAAAGGCATTTCATAACCCCCCATAATTACTCTATTTGAACTGAGAGATATTTTAGTTGGATATGAGAATCTAAGCAGCCAGTCATTTCTCTTGGGACTTTAAAGACATTTTCACTTTGCCTTCAGCTTTTAATCTTATTATGAAGAGAATTGTTCCATTTTAATATTTGACCCTTTATAAGGAATAGATAATGTTCTTTTTAAAAAATGGCAAACTTTATGCCCCCAAACTTTCAGAAAGTCCTGAATTATGAGCCTTCATGTCAATGATCATGTGTACTCAGACCATGCTTCCATTCCAGAAACTCAAGCTAACTGAGTTATTTTTGCAGTGATTTTATTCCCTTTGTTTTCGGTTTGTTTTTACAGTCTCTTTTGATATCCTGATATGTTAGATCCCAAGACTATATTTCTAATTTTGTGTTTTAATTTTCCTTTTTTTGACATTTTATTCAGCTTTTAAGATCACTTTTCTAACTTATGTAAGCCCCACTGTTAAAGGACTCTTGGTGTTTCTTGTATTTCTTGTAGCCCTTCATTGTTGTTTGTTGCTTGTTGTTACTGTTGTTGTTATGACAGTATCTCACTTTGTAGCCCCAGACTGCCTTGGAACAGTGTAGTCCATGCTGATCTTGAAACACAGCAGGCTTTCTACTTTAGCTTCCTGAGTAGAGCGGATTACAGGCAGGCACCATCATAGCCAGCTTTTGGTTTTTCTTTATGCACGCAATATAATCAGCCCTTAGCTGGTATGGAGAAGGAGGCTTGTACGAATGATCATGTGAGCCGAAACTATGACAAATAGTTTTAACAGGAAACATTTTTTTTTTCATCTCACTAAAAATTCTTATGGTATCAATTACAAATGTACAGAGAAATAGAATTCTTAAACTAATATTTAGTTGCTATGCTGTACTTTAAAACATTGAAAAATATTATGATTTCTTACTTGGCACAGACTTGCTCTTTCTTGATTTAACTTAGAATGTGTTTCTTTTCTATGTTTTGGCAAATTATAGTACTGAGTTTGGGTCAGTTTCGAATATGCATCTTTTGTGCTTTTAATTCTATGAAATGTTTCCAAGGGCCCTTTACTGTGCATCATTTTTACCAGCAGCACCTCCTCTGAGACATCTTTATCCTTTTACAATAGCCATTTCATCTATATGAAATAAGTTTTAGAAACATCGCATCTTTGTCTTTGTGATGATGGTATCAAGAAGGTCAGGAAGTTTATATCAGAAACATGAATAATAATAAATCTATCTCTTTCTTTTTTAGGTAACTTAGTACTGTGTTATTAGGAATAGAAAACAGGCTACGATACCATGTTAAATGAGAGCTGTCTATACATACCTTTATATATATGTATATATACATATATATTGTTATCTCAAATTTAGTATTTTTTCCAACTTGTATTTGTGATTTGTTCCTTTCTTTGCTTTTATATTAGATATTTGATCACCTTACATATAAGAGCAGGACTCTGAAAATTTACGTACAGAGTTTATTAAGGTGGGATTAAGTAGTAGCTGTCTGGACATAAAGCCTGCAAGTCTTATCTTTTGGAGACAGAACTAGTGTTACAGACCTATAATCCCAACTACTACAGAGGCTGAAAAAGGAAGATTCCAAGTTCAAGAGTTCAAGGCCAGCCTGTGCAATTTAACAAATGTACCAACTTCAAAGACCCTGGAGTCAGTCTACAATACACCCCCGCCAAAAAAAAGTCCTATCTTTTGAAACAGTCATGTTCCACAGAAAAATATTCTTCAGATCATCATTCTGTAGAGTGAGCATCCTGCTACCTGTCTCTCGGGTGCTTAATATGGGAAGGAAGCCCTCGAAGCTGTATGCACATTCATTTCCCATTATTTCTAATGTTTATTCAGTTTGCTCCCTTCATTCTCACCCATGTGTGCTCACAGTCCTTCTGGTCAAATCTCTGCAGAGAATAAAGTTTTGGCATTCTACTTTAAGGGGAAGACAGTCAAACCACTTGCTGTTCTTAAGGTGTGTGTGTGAGTGTGTGTGTGTGTCTTTTGTTGTTGTTGCTGTTTGTCTAGGTAGATAAGGTTTCACTATGTAGCCCAAGCTAACCTGAAACTTACTATGCAGACGCAGCCGTTACTGGCCTCAAATGTGGTCCTCCAACCTGCATCTTGCTTGTGCTACCACACCTGAGCTGAGTGCCATCTACTGTGGTTTAGCCCCCTTCAAACCTTCTTTCTCTGGTCTAGTGTGCCATCAATCAAGGCTTATGGGGTGGGGAAATGGGGCTGGCAGCTGTAAATGTCATTGCTTCTTGGTTTCCCCTTTTTGGCTGAAGATTCCTCTAGCCAACTGCCTATCAGCCTCCTGCCTTTCGAAATCTCATTCCTACTTTTCTCTATTGCATAAAGATTTTCAAAGTAAAAACTTTGTGATCACTTTGGTGGGGTTTTGAGAGGGAGAAAACTTTAAATGTGTGTGGTCAATTCACTAGCTCCATTCTAAAGTCTTTTTACCTGATGTGCGGGTGTGTATGTGTATGCATGTGTGCATGTACATACATGCATATGTATACACACATGTATATGATTATTTTTCAATACCTGGAGCTCTTGACCAATTCAAACCTAATATTTATATACACATATATGTGTAGATATGCATATATAATTTATATAAATATATAAACATATACATATATGTGCATATGTATAAATTACATGAATATTTACGTATACACATACACACATATATGTGTATATATACATATATATGGCTAATAAAGATATACTTTTTGGTTTCTTTTCTCAGTTTTAGTACTTTCAGAAAGTAAAGATATTTATCTGTTATGTTTTTTTCTAGACACTTTAATCAAGTTATTATATTTAGTTCTTGTCATTTTTATGGGTTTTTTTTTGTATCATTACTGTGTAAAACGTCACAAATACTGTAAAGACCTTCTGTGTAAATGACTCTTAACACTTTCTTGAGATGGCTTCTGTAGAGTTATCAACTGTATTCCCTGGCATTTTTAATAACCTTCTTCATATTGTCTGTCATCCCCATCTGTTTGGATTTCAGGTTGATTATCCAGACAAGCTGCACTGTGAAGAGCCACCTGATCACTTCAGTATGTGTTATGCAGGTGTGAGACACATGACATTTTCAGGAAGGAAACATAGAACCTCTGCTGTTAAATTATATCCACCTCTCTTAGGTAGGTAGATTACCCAGAACTCTGGGGGAAAAAAAAGCACAGACCCAACCATAGAGAATTCTGTCCCTGCTTCTTTAAACTAGCTCCATTTAACCTGGCACAGAGTCCCTAACGGGCAATTCTCTGACTGTATCCCTAGGGAAAATATATTGAGCATAGCCAAAGGTTAAGGCAGAGGAGTACAGCGAGACTCGGAAGCAGCCAATCAGATGAAGAGGGTCTAAAGATCCAACGCCCGCAGGCGAACAGCACCAAGCCCAGCTGCTTAGTCTCCTTCGGTTGAAGATGAACAGTGCATATGTGTTGCAAAGGCTTCTTGGGTTGATTGTAGCCTCAGAGCAGCCCCGTGTCTAAGAAGAGAGAGGGACGGATGCCCAAGCGACTCATTCTGCGCAGCAACCACCAAGACGACGCTCCTGTGCTGGAATGTTCTCACTTGAAGGTATTGGTCCTTTTCCTTCGAGCCCCTATGATTTTTAAGAAAGAGGCAGAAAGACTGGCGCTGGGGAGGCTTTCTGCTTTCTAGTAATGCTTTGTCCGTTCTCCGGCTACTGCCTGCGTTAAAATAGTCCACCTCCGGCTGAGCCGGTGCTAGGCAGAATAAAGGGGACACTTTCCACTGCTTAAGCGGGCTGAGCACAGACCCTTTATTAGGACAGCCCCTTTGTTAATGTTGCCATTGTTCTCAAGGTAAGCTGGTTAATAATGCTGGCTTTCAGTCACCGCATTCTGTTACATTCATAACTAGGAACGCAGGAGGGGAAGGATGGGGCTACGTGCCTTCAAGGTTGTTGCAATTTCTGCAATTATCTACCAGCCTTGGAGACAAAAAGCTCCAAACTGCTGATCAAACAGAGAGAAGGAATTCCACTAGTAATTGGATTCCTCTGTGATTAACATACAAGGTTTATTTAAAAAAAAAAAAACACTTCTCAATTCCGCTTAATAATTAAAATACTTCAATTATCATCTATTTCTGGCAGCTAGTGCCATCATCTCAAAGTCATCAGCATGTGAGGGGTCCTTGTTTGAGTTGCCAGGGTAATGGGAAGGACAATTCAGTGTGCTGCAGAGTAACAAAAGACCCCTGAGAAACATATGCGTTAGGTGAGGCATGTGATTGCTTCAAGGAGCATTGATTTCTAAGAGTGTCTTTTGTCCCTCATCCCGTCAGTTACGTTAGCAGAAACAGACAACGCGGGGGCTTCCATGGTTTTCGCTGTCTTTAAACTCACACAATTGTTTATCCTCTATGTCACCCGGTGCTTAATTTGTGTCTAAGATGTTAAATTGCCGGTCACATGGACGGGTTCACTGGTTAAGCCGTGTGTCATCCTCTGTGGGACATCTGAGACCATCCGTGCATCCGTGGGCTGCGAATGGTGGCCTGAGAGAAGCAGAGATTTGCGGATTGCATTGGACACAAATGCCAGGGATGTCACGCTGCCCTTTGCGGTTCTCTCCAAAGAACAGGACACACAGATAATGTACTCTTTGTAACAAATTGCCAGGGCTGACTTTTTCGTGGAAGTAGTACAGATTATTTGGGCAGTTAATTTTTAAAGTTTTTTTTAGTTGTTAAGGCATTGATAGAGTTTCTAAATTTCCACATTCAGTGGTATTTTATTGCTTTTTATTCATTTAATTCTTTTTTTTTTTTTTTTTTTTTTTTTTTTTTTTTTTTTTTTTTTTTTTTTTTTTTTTTTTTTTTTTTTTTTTTTTTTTTTTTTTTTTTTTTTTTTTTTTTTTTTTTTTTTTTTTTTTTTTTTTTTGGTTTTTCGAGACAGGGTTTCTCTGTGGTTTTGGAGCCTATCCTGGAACTAGCTCTTGTAGACCAGGCTGGTCTCGAACTCACAGAGATCCGCCTGCTCTGCCTCCTGAGTGCTGGGATTAAAGGCGTGCGCCACCACCGCCCGGCTTCATTTAATTCTTACCTGTCGAACTAAGTTTATTTCCCTCTGTAAAATTATCAATTATGTTACTATGATAGACTTTGGTATTTTGGGTTTCTCTATTCAAATGTGGATGATTCTACGTATAGAGTAAAACAATTAAGTCCAACCAGTAAGTAGAGCCAACATTTTTTTTAAATCACTGCTTAATAATCATAAATGGTATAATATATTAATGATAAAAATGTAAAAAATGTACCCTCTAATTTATAGCATTCAAGAATCAGCTATAAAGTAAAATGAGTATTTTTTCCTATGTGGGAAAATCTCATTTCTTAGTATTTTTAAAGGGCATGGCTTTTGAGAAAGTAAGCAATTGACTAGATGACCACAGGGCTAACAACTTTGAGGAATGGCAATGGGGTACAGGACCTGGTATCTGCTAGCACATAAGATCCCAGCAGGACAGCATCTTGTGCTCGGCTATCAGCAAAGTTGTACTGAAGATAGCGTTAGTCTGTTCTTGCTAATGGGAAATGGAAAAGAAAAGCAAAAAGTCATCCTGGAGAAACAAAGTCAGTGTGTATGAAGCATTTCAGGGCAGCAATAACGGTATAAAAGACAAGGACATGGCATTTCCCAAGTGGCATTAGAAGTGTGAAACTAGAGGTGTGGCCTTGACCCCAGGAAGCTCCACTTCCTGTGAAAACTAAGGGGATCAAGCCTACACAACTGGCCTATGAGAATTATCAGCCATACACATAATAACACATAGTTCTTGTAAATAAAATAGAGACATTATTATGAGGGCATGAGAGCGCGGACACAGACACTGTGTCCTTCCCCTTCCATGTTAGAGGGGGAGCAATGATCTTCCCCAGGAAAGAGTACCCTAACTGGTTTTCCACTACCAAGCAGCCAGCTGTGAGATCACATACATACAGATAACACTATATGGACTGAGCAGGGTGGATTCACATATTCAGTCATCTATGTATCTGTATGTATCTATAGCAAAAGAGGCCACGAGTTTGAGAGAGGACAAGAGGGGTGCACCAGAGGGGTGAGAGGGAAGAAGGAAAGAGAAGGGAGGAAAAGACCTAATTACATTACAATTTCAAAAACTAAGTAATTATGATATTAAAAAAACCTCTTTTAGACGAAGGACTTTTCCAGTGGAGACCTTAGGAAGGCCTACAGAGTCTCAATATCTGATCCATGCTCCCCTATTCTCTTGCATCTCTTTACGTGGTACCAAACTTCTACTTCCCTAGAACTTTCCTTTCGGTCTGATGCCCTTGAATCCTTCTTAAATGCAAATCGCCCTGGGAAGAATACAGTCAGTGTTATTTATTTCCTGGTTGGGTTTTGTACAGACCTGAGCGTAGGTGCCTAGCAAACAAGGCCCCGTAAATGGCAACGTTTTAAGAAGGAAGGCTAGGAATACTAGGACAAAAGGATACCCTTGAAGGGACGAGCTAACTGAAAAGCAAAGAGTGTGGCAAACATTCCATGTTGCTAAGATAACAATAAATGCCTACAGAGAGAGATGCTTAACTCAAACCATGCTGTTGGGTGGAGGGTTCAAAATAACATCAAAATCCCGGGTGGGCAGCAGTGTTGGAGAGGAACCTGACATACATAAGCTTTGTTTTTTCCCCCTCTTGGTTACCTATAAGGAAGCTGAAACAGTCACTTCCTGATGTTGGTAGCAGAAATTGACCACTTGCTTGACATGGAATAATGCCAGGAAAGGGAACTTAACTTTAAGAGACAGAGCAAAATTTTAATTTTGTTAATAGCAACTTTTGTCAAAGGGCAAGTAAGGGGACACTGTGAAGAATAGCATCCGTGAAAATTAACTCAGGTCCTGGGTCAGCCAGACTCCAATTACAACAGAGGAGTCTGGCTCCAGAGCAAAGATGACCTTCAAACGTGGGTATCTCGCCAACTCTTCGTTTTCAACTTTATTCCTGTATGCCTCTTTGATAATGTCCAACTTCCAACCAGTTCTTATGCCCTCATCTGTGAGCATGAGCTTATTAAGAGAAAGCCTCATTCTAATTGGACAGTACAGTCTCTGCAAAGCAGAGGACTTTGGATGAAGGAACACCATGACAAGCTATCAGATTTCACTCTTCTAGAGATATGGCAGTCTGTCTGCCTTATTTTTATAATCTTTATTTCCTTACCAGATTGGGGTTCTTCCAAGGAAAAGAGAGCATATGCCTTTAAATCCACCACTGTGACTTAGGATAGCCTGGGTTTTATTTAAGACATTAGCACCATTCTTTTTTTAGGAGGCACACTGCTCATTGGCACCGAACTACCACCTACCAAAGTAACATGAAGGATAAAGTGAGCTGGCAGTTACATGTGAGGAGGATCCAGGCATGATGGCTTATGCCCATTCCCCAAGTACTCAGAAAGCAGAGACAGGAGGATCATACGCTCCTGGCCAGCTTGGCTTATGTATAGAAACTTGGTCTGAAGAAGCATTTAAATCTGCAAGTCAGGAAAAATGTTATTTAGATTTAGCAGCACTCATCAGCCCTGGGCCACTTGAGCTGACTCTCAACAAAACCTTATAAATGTGCACTAATTAAATAATAGGTTGATCTTAATGTGCACCAATTAAATAATAGGTTGATTTCATTGGTGTGGGAGGCAAATCCAGAATGTGCATTGGTGGAAAGGATTGCTAAGACCAGGTCAAAAGGACTCCAGGGTGTTTGTTACCTACTGTGAGGTGGGGGTTAGCTTGTAACAGTAGTGGAGAGATCAGGCTGAGGTATTAACTGGGCAGTAAGTTGGACCTTTGGAATCCGTTGAAGGGCTTCCAGCATGAATTATGTGATTGACCCTATTCAATACCAGTATAAAGTATTTCCAAGATTTCTATGAGCAGCCCCTCTCCATGCCTTACAAGTATCTGAGCTCTCTACTTGTGTCTCCCCCTCAAATCTTTGTATATACTGTGGACCAAGCCAAGTGCATGTTCATTCTGATTTGCCAAAGGGATTATGTGAAGTCCAT